CTCAAAAAGTAGTAAAGGAGTTTATAGAGGAAAGAATTATTCATCGATATGGAATACCAGAGACAATAACAGCAGATCAAGGTACTGTATTTACTGGTTAGGAAGTTTTGGGGTTTACTAGATCCAGGGGGATCAAGATGCTTCATTCAACTCCTTACACTACGCTCAGGCGAATGGACAAGCGGAGGCATCTAATAAGGTTATTATTAACATTATTAAGAGGCATTTGGAAGAAAACCCAAGAGAATGAGATTCACTCTTGTCGACGGTATTATGAGCCTATAGAACATCGAGGAGGTTGAGTACGGGAGTTAGTCCATACATGTTAATTTATGGCCAGGAAGCTGTGTTGCCTGTAGAAATTATAGTACAATCATTACGGGTAAAATTACAAGGGGGTATGTCTAAGGAAGAATATGACGAATTGATGTATGGAAACATTGATGAATTGGGAGAAAACAGAGTTATAGCGTTGGAGAAATTAATTGCCCAGAAGAATAGAGTTGCTAGAGCATATAACAAACATGTGAAGGAAAAACGCTTCGACATTGGTGACTTAGTTTGGAAAACTATTTTGCCAGCGGGTTTGAATAATGAAAAGTTTGGAAAATGATCACCAAATTGGGAAGGTCCATATTTAGTTACACAAGTTTTAAGTGAAAATGCTTATCATTTGATGGATATTGACGGGCTTAGAGAAATGCCTAGATCAATCAACGGAAAATACTTAAAGAAATATTACCCTACTATGTGGGAGATGAAGGAAAATGAAGAAACTGATAATCATTTGACAAGAGAGTACATGAAACAAACCAGCGAACTGAACGGTTAAAGGGGTCGAGCTAGCCAAACTAGAGGGTCAGATTTACAGAAATAGTTTAGGCATCATTACATGATCAGTCTAAACCGATATGACGCCTAAACTTGTTTACAAAGCTGGATAGACGACTCTCCAGATGACGATTCTCGTTTTCAGCATGGAAGCAGGCAGAAGAGCTGGTGCTCCTGGCCGAATAAGCCTGGTTACACTCTGCTTCTAGTGCTATGAGAGTGGCGAAACATACGTTGGCCTGCTCGTCCAAGTAATCCACCAGCGACTTGCAGGAGTTGATGTTCTCGTCAATCTGGGCTAACAGTTCGATCAGCCCTTTCTCTTCTGTTTCTTCTGCTGCTCTTTCTTCGGATGTCAACTTGCTTTGGAGATGACGGGTGGTGATGTCCAGCAATTCAACTTTCGCTTCTCTTGTTCGAGTCAAACTACTTAGTCCTACACGAGCGGGTTCCGGAACTTTGAGCCGGTCAAAGTACACTTTCTCAGCCTGAGTGACAAGGTTAACCTTGTTGAAATATTCGCCCTCAATGATTGCATGCTGTCTGATTGCCAGTTTGTTTTCAGAAAAGGCTTGAAGACCATGGGGAAAAATTCTGCAAAACTCATTAAAGTCAATTATGAAAAGATGGTCAGATGGAAGGAACTTAGGTTCGGCTCTTTGAGGAAAGTGAAGATTTCATCTACAGCCCTAGATTCGACAGATAGATAGGTATAGGTGAGGGACAGGCGGCATAATATGTCATTCCACAAGGAGATAAACTCCTCGGTGAAAGGTGAAGCATGTGAAGATGAAGAAGAGAATGATTTTGGCCATGGTAAAGTTAGTCTGGAATATGAGATGATTGGATGAGGATGTTATGATAGTAAGACTGCAAGGATTGTTTAAATAGAGAGCCGAAGCGGATAGGCATAATAGAAACTGTAAAGAACTTAAGCGATGTGAGTAGTGAATGTAACTGACAGGTGCTTTGAACTAATTGGAGAGCAAGGACACGTCGCGAGGAGTTATTAATGCTGGTAGAAATGAAACGACAAGATGGGTTCATATAGGGGATCGTGTCTGCCGGCAATCTTTACAAGAAAAGGTGGGTATAGTGAATCAAGACCCAGAGACATAAAAAGGGTCGTGCGGAAATCAAGCGAAGTGGGAAATAGACGTAACTGACAGGTTCTTTAAACAGACGAAAATAAAGATATGTCAGGACATTATTGATATCGAAGAGAATAAAACGGCATAATGGAAGTATGGGAAATCGTGTGTAGCAAACCCGTCGACAGCTTTTACGAGGAAAGGATAGGTGCAGCTTATCATAATTAATGGATATTTAAGATCCATACCTGCCAAGTACAGGAATGTGAAAGGTTGCAATTATATGCTTCATCCGCCAGGAAGATGGGTAATTATGACCAGCTATAAATTTGAGCATTTTTGACGTAAGAAGTTGATTTTGAACGTTTGAAATTGGTACAATGCCATTTGGATAAAGAATACCAGAAAAGAAACAAAGTCCATCGATCAAGCATGTTTAGTGAAAGGGAAAGTGCATATATTCAAGGATCAAGAGTACACTTGCATGTGAATAAAACAGAGACCCTAATATATACATATAGTATTTACAAGGCGAACTGGACCTATGGTTACATGAAATGCTGCTCAATTCCTAGACAGAAGTTGTGTAAGCGTATTTCTAGATCACAATTGGCCTCGAAGAATTGATCTTTTTCAGAGGTGATCTCTTGAAGTTCGTCCTCCATAGTCCTGCATTCGATCTCCAATTGTTCTACCTGATTAAGTTGATCAGTTAGACGCTGTAGTGGAACATCATCAACTGCTTGATAACGTGCAAGGACAGCACGTGCTTGCTCCAGATCCTCTTGCCTGTTCAGATATGACTTTTCCATTTGATCGAAGGTATCGATACGATCTTGTCGAAACTTATAAGATGTCAAAGCTAAGTTAAAAGATTGAGCCAACTCTTCGACAGCGTACTCCATAGCTAGACAATCTAAAGGACAAGGTAAACTGGATAACTCAGTCAGAAGAGATTTAATTTCTGCCTCCATAGAAACATCATTAGAAATACAAGCTAAACCAGGTGACAGTAAATGGAGAAGTCGAATCCATTTGGGTCGAAACTCGTCATTTCCCTGAGAAAGGGACGGTTTACCAAAAGTTCGCCTCGATGGACATGGGATGTTATCAGAAACTGGGATATAAGTTGAAGAATAGACTTCGACAGAAGTGCCAATATAAATCTCAACTTTCCTTTTATGAGACGTAATACTCATGTCTGCAAGACAAAAAATAATAGAAGATGAACTTTAAAGTAAAGAAGAAATGAACCCTACATGGGCTGGTGGCTAAAGGCGATACCTTCATCGAATGAATATTCTGATTCTGAGGAAAGATCATCGTAGTTGGATGATAGATCACAAGGCCTCTCGAATGGGTGGTTTAGTCCAGGAAGACAGTGGGTGACTTTGGACATCACTAAATCGATGTGCGAGGAAAAGACATATGCTCGATATTCAACCCACTATTCATCGAAGGCATCGGTGCTATGCGGTTCTCCGGCAAAATGTATATAGTTAAATTTTCCAAGAATGGTACGAGTAATTTCATTGCAGCAAGAAATACTTCCTTCATTGATGAAACAATGACTACTAGTACGAGAGAAAGGATATTTCATGGAGTAAACAATAGGAGCTGGGACACCTTGGGTAAGACCGAATTGACGAGAAAAGTAGTGTGGATTGTATACTTCAAACCCTGGAAAAAACTGGCTTTTGATCGAGAAGTCCACAATTAGATCGCAAGGGATGAGAATGCTTTTCCAGAAAATACAGGTATCAGGCTGATCATAGGAAAGGTTAACCTCGAGAACATCGACGCAGACTCTATAGAAGACAAAGTTCTTCGATGAAAGCAAATATTGAAAACCTTCAAAAAGGGAAGTTCCTATTAAAGGATAATAAAGAGGACGACAGAGTCTCCAAAGACCAAATTCCTTTTCGATAGGAGGGAGGTCAGTCTTAGACCAATGAACAGGAGGTATTCCTACATCAAAAAAGATATCAGGAAAGTACATACGTAACCACCCGTGCACCATCCATAAAGGACCAAAGAAAGGATCAGGATGCGCATTGGAAAGAAAGGTTTGAGCATCTATAAGAGATCGATAAAGGACAGCAAGAGCAATTCAACCGAGACCAACATCAAGACCATGAGAAAGCATGTGAGCAATATCGAGGAACTCGGAAGAAACTGATAAGGTTGGTGTGCAAAAGATGTACCGTGAAAGCCAACATAGAAGAAATGCAACATGCTCGTCGGAATGAATTTCTTCTTCGGACTTAGCAAATTGATCCATAAATTCATCATAGGAAAGGTTAAGAGAGGTTGAGTTTTGAAAAGGCAAACATTCAAGGACCTCTTGACCCCGGAACTCGACAAAAGGTGAAAGGTCCGTTAAGGCCTAAATATCCAAAAGAGTGATGGTTACTGGACCACAAGGAAGGAAAAAACAATGCGAAGAAGGTGACCAAAAGGTGCAGAGACTGCCAATGAGACCATACTCCATTGGATTGATAGACATGCAAGAGAACATCAGAATTGTGTCAATTCAAGCTAATTGCCATTTGGACTTCATCACATTATGCAAGCGTTTATATCATTGGAAAAATCTCCTGTCAAAACTGGGATAAGAATTAAACCTATAATTGGAGGTCAGCCAAGCATGAGCGTGAATGCGGCCATTGTTAATGGGAAGAATTTCTTGATAATGGCGAGGGAAACATTCAGTGAACATAGGAGGGGCTGGAATGGATTTAAGATAAGGACCCAGTATAATGTGATCGTTGTTAGTATCATAGTCCATAAAAGACAAAGAAATATGGCCTCTTGTCTCGTAGGATTGAAGGTCATCAAGACGATTCAAGAACATAGAAGGTGAGGCGTGAGAAAAGAAAGGAAAGTTGGATGCCATGTTTAGGGCGGATGAAGTGAAAATGGAGGTAGAAGGGTATAAATAGACCTAGCATGGTAACCAACTTCACCCACGATGAGGAATGTGGAGAAATTTGAATGAAACAGTTCCTGCTGAAAATAATTTATTGAAAGGAAATATCAAAATAAAGAAAATAAATTCAAAAGAAAATGGAGGTGATTTTATTGATTAGAATTTTTCTTGGGGAACAACAGTTTCTTTACATCACTCTGGAGGGACAACATACTACGATCAAATTGACCATTCTCAGTTATACATTTGTTTTTGGTACGTCGATTTTCAGCTTCGGCTGCCAGTCGACGTTGATGCTCAGTCTGCTTAAGTTCTTTGAGAATGGTAATATCTTTGTCAAAGTCCATCTCCAGTTGAAGCCTCTGTGTGTGTTTGAATTTTCGAGTATCTCGAAAAAAGGCCAGCTTTTGTTCAATCTCCACTTTCTGCTTCTCAAGAAGAATTTCTTCCTCATCGAGTCCAGATATTTCTTCGACCAAGGCGTGAAGGTTAGTTTTCCTTTCCTTTACAGTATGACTGAGCTCGTTTATGACTTGATTATTCTCAGGATAAGGTTGATCAGAAAGAGTTAAAGATATAATTAGGTCATAATTATGTTGATAAGACTCTATCCTGCTGACAAAAGCCTTTGAGAAATCATCAAGTTTAGCCTTCAACTCAGGAGGCAATATTTCACTAGGTTTAGCACTACACAGCTCATCGAGCAGAAATTTCAGTCGATCAAAAGCTGTCTGATTGCACAGAAGCATAGGAAAACCCCCACTAGAAAGGTCTAGAAGTCGCAATAGTTTATCTCTGACCTTTTCAATGGCCATCTGCCTTGGGGAAGCTACATTTGAAGTGAAACCCAGTATGTGAGAAGCCTCGTCTAGCATGCGCCTAGTTTTCAAGAGAGATTGTGGAGAATTTCTTTCCTCGGCATAAGGAAGTGAATGGCTCGAAGAAGGTTGTGTCGAAGGAACGGCAGCACTCTGTACTGGGATAAGAGCAGTGGCCAGGGATAAAGTTGAACTAGAAGGACTGACTTCAGTAAAGTGGACAGGGGAACCAAGTGTGATGTGGCTATCGATGGGTTGAGTACTGGCAGTTGTCCCAAGGTCTGAAGTTGCTAAGATTGGTGGTACCAAATCGTTTAAAGATCCTGAAAATAGAAGGAAATCAGTAGTTGAGACATATAGTGAATCATAACATACCATTATAACACAAAATACCTTGTTCTGGTGCTGTAAGGAGTAATATGGGCGGATCAACAGTAGCAACCTCAAGATTAGGGTCAACAGAGAGTCCTGCTATATATATTGCCAATAATGAATTGCCAAAAAATTAATCACTTTGTGTTGAATAGAAAGAACAAATAAAGAAGGGTACAACAAAAATATACCGTTTGAATTGTCTTCAGGTTGGGTGAGATTGATCTGAGAACCCGAAGCCTCCACAGAATTGATAGTGGCCATAGAAGAGGAGGCTGATGTAGTTGAAGGGTTGAGACATTTTCTTTTGATCAACGCAGCAAGTGGTTCTTCATCTGCGTTCTCGATAGACTGACTAGATGATGGAGACCCTGTAAGAACAAGTATCAGGGTTAAAAAGTAATGTGGAAATTATATGAAAAAGAAAAGACTGCAATAAATGGATACCTTGCACCGGATCAGATTTCCTCTTGAGAAGAGGTGTGTTATCATCGACTGGGGGTTGATCCATTGCAGTAGCGTAGTACAATCGGGTCCGAATAGGTACACCTGTTGAGGGAACTACTTTCTTGGAAGAAATTGTCGACTCGACCTTAGGAATTTTGATTTGTGTCCCTTGAGTTATCCGCAATTGTCCTGATTCAGAATTTGGAATATCCAGTCCTATGGAAAAGGCTTTTTTACCCTTCCTACCTTTACTCCTTGGCTTAAATACGCCTCCTACTATTCGAGTCAGCATGGTTTGAGTAGCCTCCTCATAAGGGCTTTCAAGACAGAAGGAGAGCCACCAAGAAGTCCATGCAGGAGTGCATCCAGGCTTAGGTTCAAAGTCATCAACATCAGGGGCAAATTTGGCATACACAAGCCGAGTGATTTCAGCACAACATGCGAAGGGGGCATCCTTTTTAAAAGATATTTTTGTTTGACCATGTTTGGAAATTCAAGGGAATAAGGAATTGGCATAGGAATAGCCTGAACTAAACCAAATTGCCTAGCGTAGTACTGAGGAGAATAAATTTCAAATCCATGATAAAATTTACCATTCTGGGACAGCCTTAAAGGAAGGTCCACAGGAGTAAGGATGCATAGCCAAAAGTCAGTCGAATTAAGGCAAGCTATCGAATCAAACAAGTAATTGAATTCATTTGCATCATAAGCAAAAAATTCAATTTCATTCGGGTGAACTGTCAAGATTTTATGGAGGTAAAAGGCAAAAGGAGAAAGATCCTCCGAGATACCTAATGAGGAATAACTAAGTCAACGACATCCAAAGGGAGAAGGTGTTGGTGGCTGAAATTCTGGAAAGGAATGGTGACGAAAGGTGCGAAGGGTGTGATTGGAAAGAAAAAGAAAATAATGCACCATCCAACATTGGAGTATCCAGAATGGCCCAAATAAAGTACCTTCATCTTTGGACGTCATTGATAAAGATGCATGAATTATTCATCTATACAGAGTAGCTAGAATTAATGGTGTCAAAGCGAGTGTTTTACCAGCAGCAAGATTAGCTGTGAGTGGTAAGAAGTCTTTGGAAACTTTCAGTGTTGGAGCAAAGAAAACGTATTTAGACAGCCAGAAGAGGAGGAAACAAGTACGTTCGTCAGGGGTTATTGGCTTGACACTAAGAGAATATGTTTCTAGAAATCTACCGTAAGCAAGATGTTCATCAGGGATAAAGGGTACTGATAACGAAGCCATGTCACTCACGGGGGTCCCAATTAGAGGAAAATTAGTAATAGCGTACATATCCAAAAGAGTAACAGACATAGGGCCCCAAGGAAAAAAGAAACAATTGGTCGAAAGGGACCAGAAACTGATGGCAGCACCCAAAAGCCCTAGATTTAAATCATATGACAGCATGCTGACCTCTAGAGCGATATTAATGCCAGCTCTCATCCAGGCAAGGCGAGTGGTTATGTCTCCCTTTAATCTCACGTACCAGTGGTCAAAACCCATTTCAAGAGAAGGAAACCCCCGAAATCATGAGGTTTCTGGAAACCAGATGTCTGCAACTGAAGACTTTTGAACAGGAAGAAGTTCTCCTACTCTTTTTAGAAAACAGGGACGAAGAGAAGTGGGAATCTGGTGATGATTGTGAAAACAAGGACCCAGAATAAGTTGGTCGGAGGATTCATCGACCAAGTGCAATAGTCGAAAGTCACAATTCGGAGACTCTTGATCATGATGTAGTTGATCAAATTTCTCAATATATGATTCGGGAGAATATTTGCGGGCTATGAATGCAGACTAAATGAGAAAGCTGAAAAGAAACGAAGGAGTGTAAAACTGAGAAGAAAACCTAGAATTGAAGAAGAAGGTGGAAGGTCAAAAGTTACGATTTTTTTCTCGCCAGGATACGATGTTTCAAGTGATTTGCTATCATGAAGCTCTGCTAGGTCATAAATGATCGAGATGACGTGTCAGAGTAAAGTGAAGTGTTTCAGGAAGGATGAGCAAATACAAGTTACGAGGCATTAAGATTAAGATTATTCAGATCAAAATTTGTTTTAAAAGAATTAAATAAAAGGAATTAATTCTTTTAAAAGGGGCATATGTTGACACCTGAAATTAATTAGGGTTGTCGACGCTTAGAATAGATGAATAAAACGACAAGAGATGACGTCGCCCGTACTAAGATGATTCATGTAAAACAGCTGGTAAGTACTGGCAGTCATAAGCGGGAAATTTGAATTTCAGATGAATGGGGATCAAAAGTGCCACAGGTATTTTCATCAAGGACGTCGACAAGGAGAAGAGTGAATGCCAAGCTAGGAAGGACGCGATGAAGGCCTTTACTCCAGAAGAGCAGGTGTCAAACCCGGAAAAACTGGATTAAAAGTGCCAGAGGTATTTTTCATCGAGGACATCGATAAAAAGGATGACAGGTGTCAGATGTAGAGAAGCTCGATGACGGTTACCATCCCGAAAGACAGGTGTCAAACAGAGAAAAGCTCGATGATGGTTACCATCCTAGAGGACAGGTGTCAAATGGAAAAAAGCTCGATGACGGTTATCATCTCGAAAGACAGGTGTCAAACAGAGAAAAGCTCAATGACGGTTACCATCCCGAAGGACAGGTGTCAAACGGAGAAAAGCTCGATAACGGTTACCATCCCAAAGGACGTGTGACAAGTAAAGAAAAGTTCGATGACGGTTGTCGCCTTAGAGAATAAATTGGCTCGATGACGGTTGTCGTTTTAGAGAACAAATAGGCTCGATGATGGTTATCAATTCAGAAGATAAAAGGGGTTCGGTGACAGTTATCATACTAATGACAGATATCAGCACAAAGAAAGCTCAAGAGCGGTTATCACTCCGTACAAAAGATAAGATCGATAGCAGTTGATAAACATGTGTCATTAAATGAACGGTGAAGATGAAATCAACGATGGGTATCGGATACAACGCCAAAAACGGTTACCAAGTCTACGTTATAAATAGCGTCTGATTATCAACAGAAAGGCCCCCCCCCACACATCACAAAAACAAATGTTGTCTTTTATCCTTACTTTCCAGTTTCGCACTTTCAGTTTTCATAGCTGTAGTTGTTTAGGTCCTTAGTTAGTAGCTTTATTACATCATGTCAATGAACTTTGGACGCCGCCAGTAATTGGACGGTTTCGTATGAATATTCTGTAAAAAATCAAGTTCGTTATTCACGCCTGAATTGCTCCTGTCCGGAATTGGATCTAGAACCCAACCTCCTTTCATTAAAAGCCGAAGAACGACGTTCGGTAAATTATATTTCGTCGCGAGAACATTTCCGACGAAACAGTCCCCAATTTTCTCTTTTTGCTATTCTTCCAAACTTTTCCCACAAAACTTGCAAGGTCTACCAAGATGTCTCGATATATCCATAGATTCGTCGAGAGACATCGATTACTAACTCCCTCGTCCGACTTTCGAAGGCCGTAGTAACTCTTCTGCCAGCTCGTATAACGAGTCCAAAACCTACCATTCTTCCCCTCAAATTAGCTGACAACGAAGGTCAGGTGAAATGAAAAAGTAAAGAACGTCACAGCCGGGACACTGGAACATCATTGGTGCACTCCACGGACGGACCATCACAACGTTTCTCACTTCGATAGCTAAACGGTGGAGTCACGCTTCAACAGCTCAGCTTCAAGTTCCAACGTTTCAATGAACTCCGAATGAGACCATCATACTCGACGGATCAGCAGAAGAGTTGTTATAAGATGCTCTTCCCACTGCGGGCAAAATTGTTTACAAGTAAATTCGACATAAATAAGTAACAGAATATCTCGAAACTCAAATCCTAGGTTCTTTCTTTAAGAAATAGCCATGTCTGATTGACATGGATATCGGGAAGTTGATGAGGACAGAGGAGGGGACTGAATATGACACATGCTGCCTACCTGATCACGAAAGTAACAAGTTGTGAGGATTAACGAAAAGGGATAAATGCACTAGAAATTTTAAAATTTTTAAAAAGTGCAATCAAGTTTTAAAATTTATTGAGTTGGTGCAAAAAAGTCCTAAAATTTGTTAGCATTTTCCGTCTGTTAAAGTTGGATGGATTTAATAAAAGAATGTGATTACACCAACTCGACAAGTTTTAGGACTTGCCGCACTTTTTGAAAGTTTTAGGATTTAATTGCACTTTCGTGATAAGTTTTAAGACTTTATGTACACTTATCCCTAATAAAAAATAAGGTACTTTGCGAATGAATTATATCCCTATAGAAAATCATTTCCGTAAAAAATGCTCTTTAAGAACTCTAGTGTGCTTTTTAAGTATATCCCAAGTCACATAAATGTGAAATTTTGCAAGATCTTATATGCACAATGATCTCCCTTAATTTAGTATTTTACGTTGGACATATGAAACTTTTTTTTCTTAAAAAGGGAAAATCTACCTTTTCATGATCTAAATTGCATGAAAGTTCAACCTAAGAACCTGAACTATTAGATGGAGAAAGACAACATGCATATAACACAGCGCAATCAAATCTATTAATCAAACGGTGTCACACAAGGGATTGTGCTTTAACAAATGTAATGGTTTTCATATATGTGTAACCCCAGTTTCGGGGAAAAACTATCAAAAAAATCCTAAACATATTACACTTGTGCCAATTCAGTGTTAAACCTTTTAATTGTGCCCATTTAATCCTAACATTTTCATGTTTTACCAATTGAGTCAATTTGGCCAATTTTAGTCAGAAATTACTGATGTAGACGTCAGTCATATTACGTGGTAGGGCTGGCGCCGACACGAACATTTTTTAAATAATTTTTTTATAATTTTTCATGTTTGTCCTTTCTTTTTTCCTTTCCCTTTTCTTTTTGCCTATGGCCAGTTGCCAACCACAAGCCATGGCTGTGTGAGCCCTGCCCTAGCCAAGGTAGCCTTGTCGGGCGTCGCCCTCGCTAGCGCTCACCCTTGTCGAACATGGCCTATAGCCACCGGCCACTGGCAGAAAGAGAAGGGAAATAAAAGGAAAGGAAAAAAAGTAAAAAAAATTATATAAAAATGTCAACATCAGTGCAGGCGATCTCATGTAGGACTGCCGGCATCCATATTAGCAATTTCTAGCCTAAATTGACCAGATAAATTTAATTAGAAAAATATGAAAAGTTTTAAGATTAAATTGGCATAATAAATAAAAGATTTATAACTGAATTAACACAAATGCGATAGACTTACGACTTTTTTTAGTACTTTTCCACCATTTTCCTATCAATAATTTTTACAATTACGTCACATGGAAAAGTCGCCATTTTATGCCGTAGAACAAGACTATTCTGATACATTGTTTAGTCTTCTTTTTTGACCACTTGGTGAGACCCTACATGTTCACCCTTTACTATAAAGGTGACCAGTGCCCGTACTATGCGATCCCACCCAGTTTGTGAATCACTTCCTTCGTCGATTCATAAATCCTCAGGAAGCAACCGAACCACCCATCCAAACGTTGTCCAAATAGAAAGCGAAAAATGAGTTCCACTCAAAACCAAGTAAAACCCTACCAAGAGGAAGAGGACCCATGCCTCAAAGCCCTCTTGTTTTCTAGCTATCACGTCTTCCCAGTGATCCTGCATGCCGCTGTGGAGCTCGATCTCTTTGGGATCATAGCCCAGGCTGGCCCCGGGGCCTACGTGTCGCCCGCCGAGGTGGTCGCCCACCTCCCGGCCCAGACTGCCGAGTCACCCGAGATCATTGATCGGGTCCTTCGTTGCCTTGCGAGCCACTCCCTCCTCACGTACAAGTCCAAGACGTTTGACGATGGGAGGACCGTGGAGAGGCGGTATGCGATATCGCCGGTCGGGAAGTACTATGTCAAGGACGAGGATGGCGGCTCTGTCGGCTCGCTCTCTCTCTTCGCCTTCCACCGAGCCACCATTGACGTCTGGTGAGCGGAAATTTCCATCCACGACCTTGGGTTGATATAAGAATATTGTTTAGTTTCTCTAGTTATGTAATTAAAGAGTGAATCAAGTCTTCGTTCCTGAATCTGTGAATACATGACCTATCTATGATTTGTGTTAAAATAATTAAATATTAAACTCATAATTCGAAAGAAATCATGTGGTACAGGCCAAGATACGGTATGGTTGTAATTCTCCACAAGAGGAAAATAGATTGAGCAATTAATTGAATCAAACAAATCCTTCTTTATCTTTTTGCAACTCTAGGCTCCAAGTCAAAGAAGCAATTGTTGGCGGAGGGGGCAACTTGTTCCAGAAGGTACATGGCAAGTCCATATTCCAGTACATGAAGGAGGACTCATCCCTGAGCAAGTACTTCAACGACGCGATGGCCGATCTCTCCGCGACACAGACGAGGAAGATCCTCGAAGTCTACCACGGGTTTGACGGGATCTCAACTCTGGTTGATGTTGGCGGTGGAAAAGGCGCGACCCTTAACATGATTGTCTCGAAGTACCCCTCGATCAAGGGCATCAACTTCGATTTGCCCCAAGTCATTGGACACGCTCCTTCTTATCCCGGTACACTAAATATCACCAACTTCTTCGACTTAGTCGCAAAAATTAGAGGCATTATTGTCCCCGAATTAGGCCTCTAATAACTTGGTAATGATGGCGTGCAGGCGTGGAGCACGTCGGAGGAGATATGTTTGCGAGCGTCCCGGAGGGCGACGCGATCATGATTAAGGCAAGCTAATTGAATCCTTCCCTTTAATTACACTAGTCAAACTAAGGTCGATTTCGTGAGCTATGTCCTAACTTTATATGACTCCACCAATTGGGCAGGGCACGTGCCACAATTGGAGCGACGAGTCGTGCATAAAGTTTTTGAAGAACTGTTACAAAGCTTTGCCGGCGAACGGGAAGGTGATCGTGATGGACTTCATCATGCCAGACGAGCCGGAGGAGACGATGGCGTCTAAGTACGTGTCGATGCTCGACAATGCCATGTTGATTCAGCCGGGAGGGAAGGAGAGGACCGAGAAGCAGTTCGAGTACTTGTGCAAAGGAGCTGGGTTCACGGGCTTTAAGGTCGCTGCCAGAGCTGTGTCTGCACTGGGAGTGATTGAGTTCAACAAGTGATTGTATGAACTCAATCTGTCTCTGTCTTCTTTGTCCAGGTGATCTTATGTACAAGAAGCAAAGAGACATCGCGGAATTCAATGAATAAAATTGCCTCGACAGGGGTTTCTGCAATCAAGATTTTCCTCTTCTGGTTTGGCCTTAAGCCCTTTTTCTTAATAAGTAATGAAACAATGTTCGCAAAATGAACGCAAAATATCTCTATATTACTCGCAAATAATTTTATGCATCCATTAAATGGTATATGAACTATCAAGCGTATACATACAATAACAACAAATAAAAATTCAATTGCTTGATTAGGACCGCGACCTGCTCGTGTAAACTTTTTTCATATTGGAGCTTGACTCGGTTATGTAGTCGAGCTACCTAGACCAATTCGAATTTAGAATCAAGTAAAATTTGAGCAATTTACCATCGACATAGAGAAGCTTACTAGCATCTCCACTCGCTTCAATCCTTTAAGCATCATTTACCCTAACCCCTCAAAGAGCATGTTTTGGGTTCAAAGACATGTGACGGACCTTCTATTCAAAATCATAACAGTTATCATATATCATGATCACATGCCAGACACTTCTATATAAGTTGTCGTAAAATGGAATGCGCAGGATCCTCAACTATTTTCACAATCTGTGGCGTGAAACTGGACCTCCATAATATAGTTTCGATGCATGATAGCCTTTCCTCAAAAACCATTCATAATGGCATCATCGGAAGACAACTTATTCTCGACTTGGTGGTACCTGATCGCATTACAGACAAACCCATTCATCGATTTGCCATAAACCCTTGAACAAGTTTTCCCTTGGTGAAAGGGACCGACACCTACTCGCTGAAGCAAACGCAATCCTATGACTTGAGACATAAGATTATGTGGTCTAAAGTGCTCAAAACTTTCTCACAGAGAACCATATCCTAACATGGACCTTAGGGTGCATTTTGTCGTCAATTGCGGGCGTGACCTTTCCATTTTTCTTTTATCTGGCTTTTCGGTTCTTTACAGAGAAAATATCAATGGAAAGTCGTTGTATACGCACCTATGATGTTAAGTTTGTCTTTCTCTTTTGTCCCATTATCTGGTTCTTTCTGACCAACAAAGGTCCAGGAGAGAGAGAATGGTAGCTTTCGGTTTACTGTTATGACTGCTGGAAGATGGAACGTTCTTTCAGTTTAAGTCTCTATCATCAAGCATTATCACATCCTCGTACTTTATGTCGATACCAACGAATGATATGACGCCCCATGGTGCGCAAACTAAGAAACAAACCCTGTGTTGCCGGAATACTGAAAGATTCGTGGGGGGGAGAAATGATAAATAATCTGAACTATGAAGGCAATAGACACTGACTTCCAACCGAAGCTACGGAGCAGGAGCAACATCAGAAACTGACAATGACAGCGAGTCCATTCTTCAGTCGAAGTTAATAATGAAATGGTGCGAGGACCCAGCAAGATGCTGTCTGCCGACTGGTAGTGATGGCGCTCGATGATGGTGGTCTCGCATTGATTTCAAAGATGTATCTGATTGAGAAAAAAATGTCACTCGATACTCACCACAACTTTTTACGGGTCAAGCGTGATAAGATTGAACTTCCAGAGGGAGTTTGTCAACTTTGGTGGGGAGAAAGTTCCGGCTTTGCTACTTTTTTTCACTTTGATCACCGCCCCATGCGTTGAGATTGGATTACTAAACTGAAATGTCAAAATAGTGATGGTAAGTACCGTTTGATTTAATGTGATAATTAAATTCGTAAATACGATTATTCTTCTCGCCTTTGGCTCTAGACAGGCAAAAGCGAGTCCGAATAAATCTAGTGCCGAAACGTCACCGCCATTATCCTCGCTTGTCCACCAACCGAGTTTGGACGGATAGCTCGCAGGAAAAAGGGTGAAATTACCTCGTAAGACCATGCGAACATAAATTTGCACGATGTGTCTTTGGGATCGAGTCTACTATTCAAAGAACGGACAAGGAGACGCTCTTTTTAGACATCATCTTTTAAGGGTACTTTGTAATAGTGTCTCTTGGAAAGGAAGAACAATTGATTGACTCGACAACTTATAATAAAGCTAATAATTACCGTCTTTTTCTTTTAATCGCTGAAATTTGCTCCAGTGACCATCCTTTTTACTTGAGAAGGGAGAAATGGAGAGTTTGATTCCTCATCTTCTCGAGGGGCTAAAGATGAGGACATTTAGTTTCAAATGTGGATTTTGACTCCTACGCATAACAAAAAATATCGTTGTCTTCTTCTTGGCAATAATGACAACTATTGGGTCCCATCCATTAGGTGCTGTTTCAATCAATCTGAGAGAAGGGCCAAGAAAACACCGTTTAATTCCACACATTCTTTCCGGTTCCTCCCCATAAGTTTCCCTTTCATTTCGACCCACACTGCTCCACTACTTTGCTTCCTAAATGTACATATGTGAACTTTTATAAACATAAGTACTTCATCTAATAGATCAGGAGGGAAGTACTTCGGAGTATTAAATGCAAAGAACTTGGGTGATATTCCTTTCTATGGCTAAACCAATTGCTGAAGACACCTCAACCACAAGACGTGAACTTGACATGCTACTAAGCAACATGGAGATGAGAATTCCACCAACATGGTGTTAGTGATAAAGTTAGTTGGTAATCCGCTAATATATAACTATACATAATAGAGTTTAAGTAGCTACTCATTCGAATAACAAGAAAAGGCGGGGAACTTCATTAAACTCACCTATAATTATAGGTCAAATTATTAGTTAATAAGAGTTTGTTTGGATTACACATCCTCACATTTACAGAAAGTCGATGCTTTATTTTGCCTAAAAGCAAACTCCAACTCATTGGGTAGACAGAGAGTCTCTCACTTGTACAACTCCATGACCGCCCAAAGATTACTAGCAACACAAGCGATTCTCAACTCGGAGAAGCCGGCGACCTTGGACAAGGCCTGGAATTCTCTCTCTGTCCGCTCTTGACCTCCTGGTTGCATCAGCATGGTGTTGTCGAGCGTCGAGGCGTACAGCGACACCGCGCTCGTTTCCGGCGCCTCCGGCAGCACTATACCTATCACTATCGCTTTACCTTTGCTCGGCAATGCCTCGTAGCAGTTCTTCAGTATTTTGATGCAGTTCTCGTCGGTCCAATTATGCAAGGTATCCTGTAAATTCGTAATATAATCATTGACAATCATGAAATATTATATTTCAGCTTAAGTTTCAAAATTTGTAAACCATCGTTTCTTCATGTGGTACCCTATATTCACCTTGATCATGATTGCATCTGCCTTTGGAATGGTAGAGAACATACTCCCACCGACATGCTGGATTCCTACATATCATGCAAGAATTGATCACCAGCATTCAGTTAAATTGTACGTTCCTATTAACTAAAGCAGGAAATTAATGATTTCAAAGACGCATAGTTATGAAAAAGGATCAAATAACCGTATGGAAATAGTCCAACTACGGCCACGTTTGCAACCCATCAATCATAGAATTAGTTGAAGAAACTTTCTCTAATCAGGATTGGAGAAAGAACATGATCCACTTATAAAAGAGAGAGAGAGAGAGAATGAGAGGGTTTACCGGAACAAGAAGGTGCACTTTCTATTACATGAGGCAAATCAAAGTTGATGCCCTTGATAGATGGATACTTGGAGATGATCATGTTGAGGCACTTGCCTGTTCCTCCGGCCACATCAACTAATGTTGTTAGACCCTCAAAACCTTGATAGATTTCGAGAATTTTCCTCATCACTATCGTCGTCAGAGCGGCCATCGCGTTGTTGAACGTATTGTTAAATGCCGGATCAATATCCATGAACTCGAAAATCGAAATCCCATGAACTTTCTTGAATTGGTTCCCCCCTTCAAGTATGTGGTCGTCCAATTGCAACCTGCACAAGTAATGTGGGGTAAGAACATTACAGAAAAGAAGCATTAAGAATGGAAGATGTGACATGAATTATATAGAGGAAGTTTTGATGCTCTGATTTACTAAATCCTGATCATTTCCCAGAACATAGAGAACTTGTTACCGTAGACTGTCTAATGTTAAATAAATGACATGATGAGTCCAAAAGAGTAATCATATCAGAGTTTTGCCATGAATCACTGCATAAAATGTCTAAAACTCAACTTCACCCAGTCAAATCGCAAGCTTATATATTATCAAAGCATGCATTGTCTAGGCAGAAGTTAAATTGCATTCCTCTCTAATATTTTACTCAATAATGCATATAAAAGTAAAATGAGCCTATGTAATACTTTTCACTCGTTGAAGGCATACCAAACTTGCTGCGCAGCCGGATGGAAGGAAAGCTCCAACAGCGAAGCCAACGAGCCCTCTTCCCCTTCCTTCACAAAGAAGCGAGCCGCCGGCGTGAGGCCATACAGCCTCTCGACACCCCGGCCGTCGTCCTGCTCGCGCACCTCACAGCTCAGGAGCGAGTGGCTCGCGAGGAGCCGCAGCATCCGGTCAAGCTTTGGGGCAGCTTCTGAGCTCTGCCTGGTGAGCTGAGAGGCGACCTCCGAAGCCAACACCCGAGCCCCCGGGCCAGCTCGGGCCAGGATGTCGAACACGCCGAGCCGGGTGGCAGCGTTCAGGACCATCGGGAACACGTGGGAGCTCGCGAAGAGCATCGCGTGGACACACGCGTTGTCGGCCGCCTCCAGATCGCTGGCACCGGAGGGCGCCGTGGTGCTTCGGGCAGGAGCCATTTTTTTTTTTTTTTTGTTTCAGAAGTTATATGGTATAGCCAATGTATGTGTGGTTGTCTCTATACCTATGATGGTGGAGGTAAAGCTCAGTGGGTGTATGTTTTTCTCACTGCATCGAATGCTTTTTTGACATTGGAGGGGCTCCAAGCTTTTCTCAACTTTTCCACAACAATCAGTCAATAGTTCACACCGCTTTGCTTTTGCTTTTCTCTAGAAGGACCAATTATTAGCGAGAGTCTGCGCGTATTGTCGACTAATTTGCCGCGTTTCCGGGAAGTTTCCGTTATCTGTCGCATTATTCCTTAAGCGATCAGCATTTTGACGAACGGCTTGTCCAAAACGAGACAAAAAGAAGGGTCCCAACAGAGATTCTGGCGATGTGCTCTCGAGTTATCTTCATGCAAAGACAAGAAGAACCCCTGAGAGATTCGCTCCGGGTTCAGCACTTTACCTAGCTGAGACGATTCTCGCTTTCAAATTATAACAAAAAATCATAATTTATCAGAAGCTTGATCTAAAATATCTGAAAAAATAAGTTTTTTTTTATGATTATATCGAGGACGATTTTGGATCGACTTCCAGTCCTCCCTGTGACAACCACTCTCTCCATTGAGACTCCTCCTTTAACTATTGATTGATCTGATATTATCGGCCTTTAGAATAGTATTGGGGCGACATCTTATTATATAATTTATATGGGTGGATCTTTACGAGGTACATGTGGAGGAAACGATTTAGCCCACCATCATTTTCACATTTTGCGAGAATAATATTGAAATTTAATACATCCAGCACTGACATTAGTCACGTAAATAAATACTATATTCGACTCGCAAAAATGATTATGTAATTAGTATTCACTAAAAGAGTCGTGTAAGATAGAGGCTGGAGAATTTCGCTCAACTAAGAAAAGTGAAATTTAGGAGATCGTGAATTGTGTTGTTAAAGAATATAAACTTTCACAACTTCACGTAGGGATGTGCAAATCAAACCGCCCGAATCGTGATCCGCCCAAACCGGACCGAACCGGCCGGATGGGTTCGATTCGCAGGAGTGTCGGTCTAGTTCCAAGGGGGAATCGAACCGAACCTGACCAACTATAAATAGTTGGTCCGGTTCGGTCCGATTCCCCCTTGGAACTGGACCAACACTCCCAGGAATCGGACCCATCATGTATATATATATTATTTCTTCAAAAAAATTAGTAAAATGTAAACTAAATCCCTCCTTCAAAATTGTAACATCCCCAAATTTGGACCTCAAATGGAACCGAGATGACCGAAGGAAAAGGCCTTGGAAAATGGTGTATGGATTGATCCGAGAGTCGGTCATGGATTGGTCAGTATGGACAGAACGCTATCTAAAGGATCGGTCATGGTTTGATCGAAGGATCGTCCATGGATCGGCTAAGGAATCGCCAATGAAATGACTTCCCCGATCACGCAATCAGTAGATATAGATTATTTCTTCGAACAATTAGTAAAATGCTAGAACATAAGATCCCGATCGGTTCAAGAATTGGTACCATCCGCCAAATTTGGCCTCAACATGGACCGAGCCATGCCCGTTTCCCCCTTTTTCTTTTCCTTTTGCCCCCCTTTTTCTCCTTCCTTTTTCCCTTGGGTTTTCGGGTCCAAACCCAATTTTGTGCCCACCAAACTTGGCCACGAGCCATGCATTGTGCTGTTCATGAGCCAATGCGTATGTCCGATCAATGAATCGATCCTCGTCCATGCGTCTCGTCCATACGCACGGCATGCTTTGCTCGTGTGGCCCGGCCTTGCGCCGGCACGCCGTCCGTGCGGCCAAGTGTTGTGCCCATGTACTCGGCTCGGTGCTCGTGCGGTAGGCCCGGTGCCCGTATGGCCCGGGTGTGAGCCGGTTTATGCCCGAGTGGCTCGGCCACAGTACTAGGCCACTGTGCCGGTCGAGGCCCAACCAACCAAGGCACGTACCGTGTAGCGCTCGGCACTACGTACGTGCAATGGCCGGCATAGCGCTCGTATAGCCCGACACAGCACCCGTCCAAGCCAATTTGTGCTCGATCAGGCTTGTCCAAACAAGTTCAGCACTTAGTCATTTCAGATTTTGGTTCAATATCATTTGGACAATATTTGGCCCTGATCTCGAATTTCTAATGGGAAAGTCGATCGTTTAAGGCATCTGAAACCTTGATTCTCTTAGTTCTTTGTCAAGCTAAGTTTAGTGAAATCTTGGTGTCCAAAGAAGGAAGTGCCATTAGAACTAAACAAGGACCCAATTATTGAGTGTTTCTTGATATAGTCATATAATTCACGCCTAGCATGCTTCTTGGACAAGAAGACATGATGACTTGACTATTTGTGCATTGGTGCTAACTTCTTGGACAAGTTAGTCAATATTGAAGACTAACCCCCAATAATAGAGCTTGGGTCAATAATGAAGTTGTCTTACATGAGCCAATAATTGTGGCCTCTAAAAAGTGATTCTTGCCCAAGGAAGAAGCTATGGACTAGAGGACAAATTAGCAACTTCTTTTAGAAGTTGTCTACTAATTGAAATATAGCACCAATAATTGAAAACTTCCTTAGAAAGTTGTCGATGATAAAGCTTGACCAATAAGACCCCTAATAATAGAGATATGAATCTTGTAGAAGATTTTAATAGTTGAGTCTTGAAGACCAAGACTACCATCCACGCTCATCTTAGAGGCTCACGACCAAAGGGAGGAAAAGAGAGAGAGAGAAACCATGATGATTTACTCAGGCCTTAAATGAATTAGTAGGGCCTAATGACCCTAAGGTAGATGTCACGCCCGTACCCCACGAAGCATGAGCATCCCGCTTATAGGTCGAAATAGTAGCGCGACGCTCCCAGGTTACGCACCGACCCGAAAACCCAAATCGAGAAAACACGCCACATGCGAAACGACGTATATGTAATAAATATACATATACACCCGACTATTTAAAAGCAACCACGAGTGGCAAGAGAAAAATAAATTACGATTGATTAAACCCCCATATACATTATCCGTCTATAAACAAAAAGGTACATCAAAAGGCCACGAACAAAAAGGGATCGGTGACCTAGGGGTGTCAAACTAACTACCGGAGGGGTACGGTCAAAAGTGTCGACCCTCACTCCTATGCGATATCTAACCTACGGTACCCGTCGGGATCGAACCCGACGACTCCGAAGAACTCTCGAGTCGCTCTTGATCCTCCTCGAACTCATGGCCTCCAACTCTATCTCTCGGCTCGGGGTCTTGTTCTTCGTACTGCCTACGTCCATAGGCTCGGGGCTTCGCGTCCACCGCTCCGGAGCCGGATCGACTATCTCCGCTCAAAAGCTAATCCACCAAGCTCCTCGTGCTCTTCCTCTTCTTCCACAATCTCGTACTCAACCTCGGAATCGGGATTGCCCTCCATATCGACATCTACTATATCACCGTCCTGGACATTGAATATCTAGCGGACCCTCTCCCACAAACGGGCGTCGGCGGACCCGATGGGACCGAACTCTACTCCAAAACGATCCGGAAACACCGGGCTAGATACTCGTGAGTCTCAAAGTGAGCTAAGCCTACGTCTACCCATACTAAAGCATAGTATCTATAGTACTTCTCCCCGTTCCCCACGGGTGTACGGTCAGCGTACGCTCTATATGGTGGGGAATCCCAAAGCGTAACGGTGCGTCGTCGAGTTCATGGCGGGAGATCTCGAAAAGTCGGTTTTACCACAACCGTGAGAAAACTCAGCAAGTAAAAACCACTAATCCTAAACTAGGCTAATGTGCACCTCCGAGGGTAAATAAAACACATAAACAGATAAATAAACCAAGATAACAATCAATATAAGCTCACCCGGCCCACACCCAATTCACTACTCGCTCCGAGTGGACTTTTGATATCAATATTAAACATATTCACTTAAATCGACCCGAAGGCCACGACCCGAAGGCCCCAATTTATCCCGACCCGAAGGCCCGACCCGAAGGCCACAATTTATCTCGACCCGAAGGCCCGACCCGAAGGCCACAATTTATCTCGACCCGAAGGCCGACCCGAAGGCCACAATTTATCTCGACCCAAGGCCCGACCCGAAGGCCACAATTTAAATCACTTCAAACATGTACATCAATGCGTCCAATGTTGATCAATCAACGTCACGAGAGATGAATACAAGCCAAGGCACTCAAGGTTAATCGCCCACTCTAATATACCAAGCGTACTCATTCTCGACTTAGACGCATTCAACTCATCCTCAAGACAATCAATTTACTTCCGTTCTCACCCAATCCACTCGACATTGATTCGCACCTTTATTACAATTCAATGTAATACACCTAAGGCCCGCCTTGGGTAAATCAAACTTAATCCTCATTCTCATTGGTACGGGGTCACAAAATAGGATTTATATAAGTCCTACGTAACCTCTAAAAATGCCTAATTCCTTGTCATCAACCAATGACTCAACTAAGTATTCAACTTGGATAACTTGCACAAATTCGGTACTCAATGAACAGTACCAGGGGAGGACACATTTTGCCCACTAAACCACAATTAAACACCCTCATTAGGCTCTAATCTTGACCTCAATCACCCAACAACCAAATACACTTACTTAAGCTTCAAATAAGCCTAAATAATCCCCAAAATGTCCACTTCCAAGTCATTAGTACTTGAACTTAATTAGTGCCACACTTAGACAATTTTACACAATTTCGGAGCCCCATGAACAGTACCAGGAATAATTCACATTTAGGTACTAAACCACCTTTAAACCATCTCATTAGGGCCTAATCACTTACCCTAAACATCCAACCACCAAATACACCTAATTAAGCCTCAAATGAGCCTAATTAACACCTTAATTATCTAATTCCAAGCCTTGAATCATTGAATTCAATTTGTGCAAAACTTAGACAAATATGCACATTTTCGGTGCTTTGTGAACAGTACCAGAACAAGGGCTGTTTTGGGCCTTAATCCACCATTAAATCATCTCATTAGGCACTAATTAGGTCCCCTAATCACCCCACACAACACTAGGCATATCTAGACCATGATTAGGCTTAATTAACCCCCTAATTACCCTCTAAAATGCACAAATAAACTAATTAAGGGTTTAGGGGTTTATACTGCCTAAAATCGACTCGAGGCGACGGGAGCGGGCGGCCGATTACCGACAC